TACGTACACCAAAGATGATTGCCAGTGCCTCTTTCTCAATTTGGGCATACTTCCGCTCCGTCTTCGTAAGCGTCTTTGAGGCGTGAGCGATGGGACATTCTCTTCCATTGATTTTATGTTATATCACTGCTCCAACTCCCTCTGATGAAGCATCTGCCGCAAGGTAGATCGTCTTGTCAGGGTCGAAGTGGGCAAGAGCTTCGGTTACTGATAGATGCTGTTTGATCCTGTCAAAAGCATCCACACAATCGGAGGTCCAGTTCCAGGCAGTGTCCTTTCGTAGAAGGGCATTTAGTGGTGCGGATATTTCGGCCAGGCTTGGCAGGAACTTACTGTAGTGTTGGATCATCCCCAGAAGAGATCTCAGCTGGCTGACATTTTTGGGCTCAGGCATGTTGAGGATAGCAGAAATCTTCTTAGGGGACGGACTTAACCCTTCACCGTGAACCACTTGTCCAAGATATTCTACTTGCTCTTGAAGAAAGCTGCACTTGCTTTTCTTCAGAGTGAACCCGTATTCTTCGAGGCGCTTGAGGACTCGTTCCAGATTCCGAAGATGGTCGGAAGTTTCCTTCCCGGTTACAATGATGTCGTCTAGATAACAAGCCACGCCATCAAGACCTGCAGTGACCTGGTCCATTGTTCGTTGGAACACGGCTGGTGCCGATGCAATTCCAAAAGGCATTCGATGAAATTGAAAAAGTCCTTTATCGGTGTTGATTACAAGGGCTTGCTTGGCTTCGTCGTCTAGTTCCATCTAAAGGTACGCTTCGGAGAGATCCAACTTCGTGAATCGATTGCCTCCGTTGAGCTTGGCAAACAGTTCTTCAGGTCGTGGTAGAGGGTACTGAGCGATGTCCAGTTGAGGATTTACGGTGACGCTGAAGTCTCCGCAAACGCGGACTGAACCGTCAGCTTTGGGGACTACCACGATTGGCGTTGCCCATCTGGATACTTCAACTGGGGAAATAACCTTGTTGTTGATCTGTTTCTGCAGATCCTTTTCTACCGCCGTACGTGCCGCAAACGGAATAGGTCTCGGCTTGAAGAAGCGTGGTGTTGCCTCAGGCTTGAACTGTAGCTGAACCTTCAGCTTCGTGCAGCAGCCAAGACTGTCGGTGAACACGCGCGAGAATCGCGTGAGCATTGATTCCAGCTTAGCGCGTGTAGTCAGTTCAAAGGATCAAACAAACAATCGGTTCAGATCGATCTTGAGCGCATCAATCCACGTTCTTCCAAGCAAGTCGGTGTGTCTCTTCTCTGTCACCACGGCTTCCAACGCAGAGGTCTGTTGGCCTAGTGTGACGTTGAGAACGCACTGTCCCTTGAAAGGAATTGCCTGGTTATTGAAACAACACAGGTTGCACTCACTTTTCTTGAGTGGCGGGCATCCGAGCTTCTCCCAGGTGTCAATGTTCAGTAGTGTCAGCTTGGAACCGGTGTCCACTTGCAGATCAACGGGGATTCCTTGGATGAGACAGGTGACAAATTCGCCGTCTCTATCGCGAGTAGCGAAAACGTTCGTGACAGTTTTGACGTCCCGTTTCCGGTTTCCTCGTTGTTTGTTGCGGTCGTTGGAGTGGCACATCTTTGCAATATGGCCTTTCTTGCCGCAGCTGTTGCAGGATTCATTCCGATATCGACAAGTAGACTCTACGTGGTTGCTGTTGCCACACCGCAAACACCTGGCTGGGGTAGAAGCAGGATGCTTTACTTTGTCGACGTGCAGCGCATTTTGGTCAGGACGATTCAATTGGAGGGACTCCGTTTCAGCCCTGAGATAAGACTCGGCCAGCCGCAGTGCAGTGTCTAGCGTTAAGTCCTTCTCCATTACCAAACGTGCCCGGATGCGGGAATCGTGAAGGCCAACAATGAATGCCGTCAAGAGTGAACAGTTCCTGGCGTTTGTCTCCGTCTCATATTCGCAAGTTGCAATAATGGACCATAATCTTGCGAGGAATTCCTTTACGTTCTCCGATTCCTCTTGACGCGCCGAAAATAGCTTGGCTCGCTCAAACTCCTTGAATTTCCTCGGGGCGAAGTGATCCTGGAGCCGTGTAACGAGGTCTTGATACGTCAGCTCGGAGAAATTCTGAGGCTGAACCAGGGTGCACAGCAGCTGAAACGTCGTCGATCCAAGTGAAGCTATCAATAAATTTTTCTTGTCGACGTCGGCGGTTATCTTCGCGACGTCCAAGCAAGCTTGAAATCTTATCTGATAGAGCTTCCACTCTTCCTTGTCGGAGTCAAACGTCCCAGGGCCATGGAAGCGGTGGGTGCTGCTGTCTCCCACGTCTCGGTCGTTGGAGCTGCTGCTAGTCATCAGGGGTTCTTGGTTTTCGTCGCAAATGTTGTAACCTGGTTCAGGTGGCAAATATATTTATTTCGAGGAGCCGAAACTAAGCAGGTCCGGCCGCCAGGACATACGGTGCCGAACGCCCGAGCTGCCAGCCACGCGAGCCCGTGCACCTGGCTTGATGGTCCCTTCGATGATGATAGCAGGCTGTCTGCTACCATTTTGGAAGGATGGCCAACGAAGATCGTTGACCCAAATATTCAACCATACCACAAGCAAAGAGCAGAACTTGCCGAGCTCGACGGTTGCATTCTTTGGAATGCTCGAACGGTAATTCCTAGCAAGTTCAGGCCACATATCCTCGATCTGCTTCATGAGGGTCACATTGGTCAAACAAAGATGAAGATGCTCGCGCGATCTTATGTTTGGTGGCCAAGAATGGACCATGAAATCGAAAAACAAACTCAACAGTGCGAACAGTGCGCATCAATATCGGACACTTGACCGCAAATCCCTCTGCATCGTTGGGAAGATCCAGGAACACCCTGGCATCGCCTCCATGCAGACTTTGCAGAATTGGACCAAAAGCACTACCTCATCGTCATTGATGCTTTTAGCAAATGGCCGGAAGTCATACAGATGACATCTACGAAAGCATCAGCAACCATGGATGCCTTCAAAGAAATATTTCAGCACCATGGTCTTCCACAACAGTTGGTAACGGACAATGGCCCTCAGTTCATTAGTTCCGAATTCGAGACGTTTCTGTTTCAAAACGGCATTGACCACCTTCTCACGCCACCGTATCATCCGAAATCAAATGGTCAAGCCGAGAACTTCGTGAAGACGTTCAAGACCGCTCTTCGTCACGCAAAGGGCAAGGACAGCCGGAAGAGCCTACAAGACTTCTTGATGCGATACCGCATTACCCCTCATATATCCACTGGGAAGGCCCCATGCATACTTTTGAACCAGAGACACTATAGGACGGTGCTTGATTTGGTAAAACCCTCGGCCAAACCGTCCAGGTCTCCACAGATCCGCCACTTGAACTCGCACTCGTTCGCAATTCACCAAAAAGTCTGGATCAAGCACCCTCTGAGAAAACAGCACTGGATTAAGGGTGTGATTCAAGGAAGGGTAGGCAGCGTGATTTTCGAGGTCCTGGATGAGAACTTCAAAGTTCGCCGTGTGCATGCTGACCACCTAAAGAACAGAGTCACATCCGACGCTTTCGAAGGCCTCCTGTTTCCAATCAGCAGAAGTCCACCGGTGGAACGCACTGCGTCTCCAACGGAATTTCCAACTCCAGCAAGCCCAGGAGCTTCACACCGTAATTTGGAGCACATTCCAAGGTACCCTCAACGAAGACGCATGGCACCGGAGCGCTTCCAGTCTTCGTAATCGGGGAAATGTAGCAGACAGCCTGCTATCATCATCGAAGGGACCATCAAGCCAGGTGCACGGGCTCGCGTGGCTGGCAGCTCGGGCGTTCGGCACCGTATGTCCTGGCGGCCGGACCTGCTTAGTTTCGGCTCCTCGAAATAAATATATTTGCCACCTGAACCAGGTTACAACAAAAAGCAACGGTGCCGAATTCCGTGATGTTTAGCACAACCAAGCCATTGTTACGGGCAACCTGAAAGCTGGTGTTGTACTTTGTGAACCTTTTTTTTGCGTTTCCCATTACTTGAAAGGTTATAAAAACTGCAGTCGACCGCACAACATTTGTATTCAGAAAATGTATGTTGAATCAAAACGCCGCCTAAAAGCAAGATGATATATTTTTTTTAGCGCCACCTTTGGTCACTTTTTAGTCCGGATTCTAAAGCTCCAAAGTTCCAAGTTTGATACGTCAAAATAATGCAAAGAAAATATATTTTGATGGAGGACGTCAAAATGATTTTCAAAATATTTTTAAGTCTTCAGGCAGTGGTGTAACGAACGCCAAAATAATACTCAAAATTATTTTAAACATGGACATTGAAATAGTAGCTGCTGCCAAAGGGAAAAGTGGATTGCTACCACTACATTTGAGTGGAGAAGAAATGTTCAGCTATCCATACTTTATTTTGGGGGTAAAAAAAGCACATAACTTTTTTGGAAGACACGTTATACAGTCTAAGCTCGTTATAACAGACCTTGATTTTGACCAAGATTACGGTCTGTTGTTAAAGGGGTATGTTGTAAACACAACCGAACTTCACAAATCGGTATGTTATATCCAAATGTCTGTTGTAACCAGGTCTGTTATAATGAGCTTCGACTGTATTATGTTTTTTGTTACAACCTTTTGTGACACTCTACACCTAGATGCGCATTTCTGCACCGAAATGCACCCAATACAGAAATGCGCCGAATGCATTTTGGCGCAAAATATAGCGCTGAAATGCAGTCGGCACTTCCTTTCCCCTCACGTCCGACCGCAGCAGATGCCACAAGCCATCGGAGCCAATTCAAGGGCACGCGAGTTTCCCACGACCTTCGAGAGGATGCGTCGTGACGTGCGCAAAAAGCGTGGTCGCGTGCCACGTCTGCGGAGATGGATTTCCCGGTACCACTCGTGGCATCCGCCACGGCCGGACGAAAGATGAAACGGAGCATAAAAGGACGGTCTTATTGGCTACGTAAAAGACGGCATCGAGATGCGGCTTTTTCGGCGGTCGCACCACGTCGGCCAGTGTGACCTCAAACGGGCGCTCACCGCTGGGACGGCTCGATGAGCATGTCCCTCACGTGCACCTGCGCCAGGTACGGCTCTCGGCAGTCCGGAGACTCCGCGTGCTCCTTCAGAATGGCTGCGCCAAAGACAATAAAAAACGGACACGGTAAGCCCGTGTGCAAAGGCTTGATTTACCTTTGTCATACAGATCGCAGGTTCTCAAACCTGGTTTTCATACTTCGTTTCGGTTTAAGTCCCGACGGTGCCACGAGAGAATGGGACCGATCGAGCGGCGTCAAAAGTCCAAGTCGCTAGGCTGTTTCTGTCTACGATTGGTTCGGTGATGACAGAGCACGTGCCGAAGCGTGACGAACGCCACCATAATACACTTTGTTGCTGTCCAATTGGTCCCACCAGCTCTTAATGACGGTTGTGTCTGGACTTGATGCGAAACGAAGTATAGGAACCCGGGGTTTTCCTGAAGTACCACTAAGGGTTTCCCAAACTCCCAAATTTCCACCGTCGTCCCTGTCCCCAGTTAGAGTGTTCTTCTGGTTTAAGCGTGATTTAAGAAGATTCGAGCCCCGTTTTTTTTTTTACGGGTTCTTCGCCTCCCAGGTTTCAGAGAAAGCTCCGGTTTAAGGGGGGACACTACCCAGAAAAAAGGAATTTCTGCAAAAAAAAGTTGATTTTCAAACTGCCATTGTTACATCCACCAACATCTACCGTAATATCCCGAGTCATCGCCCATCCCTGAGCCATCGCCCACCCCATTTTTTGGGCCAATATCGATTTCCGAAAAAACACCGAGTCATCGCCCACCCCTTCAAATACCCCAGCGCGGACTCTGCGATCCGCGAACACTCATCCTACCCGAATGACGCGGCCGCGGACCTTACAGTTGGAGGACGTCCGTGACAAAGTAAAACGAAGGAGGGAAAGACGCTTCTTTTTGTTCACGCATTTCCTCCGTGAGCGACCCCAAAGTGGTCGTGTATCCGTGCGAAAAGAAAACGATGGAGATAACAAAATAAGAGTTTGTTAACGTAACCGCGGAGTGTTAGGTCAAAGTCTGTCTCCGCCGAAGTAAGGCCACCGCGAACCCGCTCCTTCTTCCCGCCCGTCGCGACTGCGGTTGTGCAATATTTTAGGCAAAGCCAAAGCGTAAATAAAGCTTTGCTGGAACGTCCTACACAGACGTTTGCAGAGCGTCCCAACCGTGCATTGATAGCCCGCCGTGCACGGACGCACGTATGTACGCACCAAACAAGAAAGTTGCGCAAGAGCTTGCAATTGACAAGGCGCCCGACTTGGCCCGACGCCAAAGTATTTGCCAACGCGACCGCCGGCTTTCCCGCTTTCCCAGCATTGCTCTTGGTCGCTTCTTTGGTCCGCTCGCTCGCTCGCTCGCTCGCTCGTTGCGCCTGGTCGGTTTTTCTATTTTCTCGTAGACTTTTCTTTCTTTTTTTTACTAACTAGGAGAACATAATGGTGACATTCTTTCACAGAACAAACGTTCGTGCTATATGCAGATCGGCGGTGTTTCTAGCGCGTATGCAAGCAACGGACTTCGCTATAGTAAAATATTCTTTCGTGAGCATTTTTTTTCTATAAAACAATGAAACTAAATCGAGTTTTGAGTTTGATGTATCTCTTGCGCATCAGCGCTACATACGCAGAAAAAAATAGGCGGTTTTTTTCCGCTTTTTTTCAAGTGTTTGTGCTCACCCACCGAGACATGGCCCACCCCACTTTTTTAACGAATTTCAGGCGGTTGGGGGGTGGGCGATGACTCGGGATATTACGGTAGAGTATTCCCAGAAAGTTCAATTTGTTTACGCAGCATAGTCATTTTTTTATAAATTATTTTCAGCCCATGGATGCTAAAGAAAATGTAGAGGTTCGAACATTTCGAATGAGTTTTTCTCCGTTCTACTTTTTGGCATAAATCCCACCTTAATAAAACTATCGTTTCAGTATGGTACTATCGAGACTTAATATTTGCGGCTTATATGCCGAAATCTTATGGAGTCTGTTACTATGAACTTAGATTTTGCATTTTCATGCTCCTTTAGCGGTTCAAAAGTTGACATCCCCAGGTAGTGTCCCCCCCTTTAATCTAGTCTCCGTCAAACGTGTCCGAAGCCGTTAAACCAGGCTTCGTCCGGAAACAAAAGCCCACAAGAGTGGCGCACCGACACGGCCGTGAAGTATGTAAAGAGAGCACGCACCAGTGATTTTCTCAACGAGGCTGTACAGGCGGCGCCTCCGCTCATCTCGACGCGCCTTCCACCAGCAGAGCAGGTAGTACAGGGCACAGATACTCAGAACCGCTGGAAAACAGCACAGACGAAAAAACTGTATACGTTCAGTGGCCCCTTTGCACAAGCACGAACCGACGCTTCAACTGTGACAACTCTAAACTCCAAAGCAGTATATCGTTAAAAAACCTGGCAGTTTGTGCAACGTTATTGCAATTTAGACGGAAGAGGTGAATGAGCACGAGCCTAAGTGGAACAAATGATACGCCGACACACATGCCGACTGCCCAGAAGTGTAAACTCTCGAACTTCCGACTCGAGATGCATTCATGGCATAATTGGCGATTTTCGTCGCATGTTTTTTTAACCTACTTCTACGGCTTTGTTTTAAGGCCACCGAGAGCTACGAATATCCGCTTCGCTCGAGAAGGCTGGCGAGCAAACCTGCCATCACGGCTTTCTGTTTTAGCCGCTAGGTGCCGTCGATCTCTCCGGAATCGCTAATACTGCTGGTATGCAGAGTTTAAGCATTAATCGCAAGAAATATTTATAGCCGTTTCAAACAGGCACGCATTGATGTTGGCTACAGTCGGAGACAGGTTAGGAGATACCGCTCGGGACGAGTATAGCTTGTCTGCTTTCCCCGTTTCACGCACTTGACCTTTTGGAATGACTCAGGCTTGTTCCTGGCGTAGTTTGCGGCCCTACCAACAGCTGACAGCACCTTTTATTGCTTAGTTTTGCTCCCATTCCGTTTGTGGCTATAAACTTTATTCTGAAGGCAACAAGTTTGATTTTACAACAATTAAAGCAATCGAGGGTCAGGAATTCCCGAAAATTAGAAACAGCTAAGGGTCTAAATATCGGTGGGGAAACCTCAATAACGAGCCTTTTTCTAAGTCCCGTAATCAAATGATACTGGTTAAATTTTAAATTCATAGCAAAAGTATCAATGATTCATTTATAATTGCGATGCTACACAAAAACAAATGCTCGATTTATCTCGATCCCATGGATAAGGTCGGTATGCACAGGATATGTTTCCGCGGCATTCTTCGAGGCTTGAGGCAGACGTTGCAGTTTCTTTTTTTTTAATCGTAGCATGTTATTTACTTCCAAACTCCATCCCTCTTGGGCACGTCCTGGATTTCTCGTTTCTTCTCATAAGCCGGCCAAACGCCGAACGCCGTAATGTCGAACATCAGCGTCCGACAATCGGTGTTCGCATTTTAACAGTTAGTAAAGATTATCTATCGCGGTGGAGACAAAGCCAGCTAGCTTTGTGCCGCCGAGCTCGCAATCGTGGGGTCGTGGGTTTCGATTCTCGTTGGGAAGCGTTTAGAATTTTGTCCTTTCTTCTCAAATCACCATTTTTTTGTACAGATTGTCCTCTGAAGTAGGTGTTACGCGTTTTCTAACGATTCCCCTCATGTTCAGCCACACCTGCCTCAGGAATCCCAGCCATCGAGGGTACTCCCGAGAATTTTCGAACTACCCCAACCAACTATAATTTCTGAATCCCCGGCTTTCGCTCTTTCCAGTCTGCTATTTAGTATCGCAAAAATTCGAAATATTAGTTTTTTGCAAAATCGGCAAATGAAAATGATGCCAAAACCAACATTCAAGCCTTTCCGTGCCACGACGTCAGTGGCAGGCAGGCTTGCCGAGCATTTGTTCTGCGTTGTTGCGCGGGTGCCAGAGCGAGCTTCCAAAAGCATTCGTTCGACGCCGTGAAACTGCTCGCAATCGGTCGGGAACAAATCACACGGTCCAAAGAACGAACACCTGCCTGTCACTGGCATCACTTTTTCGTCGTTGCCAGTAGAGACCTTCAGTTTGAAAAACAGGGCGAGGACCAAAATTGTGATTTCAATAACTTCAGGAACAATAACTATTTTTGCCTCATACAGTGGAGTCTCATTAATTTGAACCCAAGAAGGACCAATAATGCAAAATTTGAATTACCGGGAGTTTCCTTCCTAGAAATACATGGGACAGGACCTGTGTGTTAATTTGAATTAACGAGATTCCACTGTATATGGGTTACTAATTCAGCAATGTCTTTTGGAGTGTTTAGCCAATTTTCAGTCATATCGGGGACTGTAAAGAAAACGCCGGAGTAGCCCTTTGAACACATTCCGCGTTAAAACAAAAAAAAAAGGGAATTTGAGGCATGCGAGCGTTAAGATGAAGGTGAACGCACCCAAGGTTCCGAAAACCATCTGCATGGCGACGCTTTGCAGGGTCAGGCGTATAAAGCACCAGTACGACTTGACCGGACGCAAGGCACGCAGCGCCAGCACCGAGCCTTTCTGGTAGAAGACGCTCATCGGCTCGCCGTCTCGACCCAGCAGCCTGAACGATGATACCGAAGGGATGGGGATACGGGGACGTTCTCACCACTTTATTTTAGGCACGTGCAAATTGTTAGATTTTGAGTTTGGAGCAAATTCAAAGCGAATAGTGGCTTTGGCCGAAAAAGTTTAATTAAATATTGAATAGTTACTCAGAGCCTTTCGCTGCTGCACTATGCTAAAACGAAAACCCAGCCGAACCTCGTGGAGTGAACAAGTATCTGTAATCTTGACATAGTTGTTTTCAGTAACAACTCAACTGAATCCTAAAGCTCTGCTTTTTTGTTTTTTTTTCTAGAGTCAATAGATTAAAAGTAATTAGGTAAACTGTTGACTAATTATGACCAGATTTTGTTTGCTTTCACGTGTGTGATTAATTCATGGCAAGAAACTCACTTCATAAAGATTCTATTAGCTCTAGGATGTATGGTGGATCCTTGCAAATCACTGCACATTGTTAAAAAAAGAAAGAGTTTTTATTAGAAATTTTAAGAGAGAAAAAGAGACCTAGTTGGGATTTGATATTTTGTAATATCTTTCCTTTTAGGTTATTTGTTTCAGATGTAATTGCAGATATCAAGTCACCATTAAAAGACAGGTATGCATGCCAACTTCCAAAAACATCTGTCAATAAACAAAGAAAAACCTTTAAAGATCCTGTAGGCATTGAAGATGTTTTTGAACTTTTTAGAAAAGGGTGCTCTCTGACTCTCTAGGAACCTGGCAATATGCTCAGCCCTCTCCTACAGTTCTAAGAAGCTCATTATATTGTATCAAATAAATGAACGAAACCAAAACTGGGGTTCGGCTTCCCCGCCGTACAAACTCTCTTAAAACAGAGGTGAAGTCAACAGTGAGCCGTCGGCTTCGGTAGACTTTAGTGGCCGCGAGTGTAGACAGCATGGTGAACTCTAGCAGCGCTCTGCCATTCAAGAGCATTGTACAGTGTAGACCGCATATACCGTATGCCGCGGGAGTCGCGAAAATCCGCACTATAAACGGTACTGCGCTATAATTAAAACATAAATTTTTCAGGCCAAAATACATGCCATCAGACAACTTACCTTTGTAAAACAATTTATTTTATGTTAGATGAAAAATAAAGCTTAGTTTGAGGAAAGTCTTTATTTCACCAGACTAGTACACTTCTCTCTCAAGTGTGTCGCACATTTTGAAAGAAATGAGCGACTTTTGCCTGGCGCAGCCTTTTAACAGCGTCGCGGGTTGCGGACAGACGTTGCGAGCGTTCAGGATTGCTAACCCTAATCACTTTTCTCTGGTGATGAAAACGCGTGAAAATTCGCATCTTTTATACGGTACGCGCCAGTAATACCTTCAACTTGAGCACACGCATGAAATGCTCCAAATAAGAAATCCGGGCGATGTTCGAAAACACAAATGCTTAGAAAGCACCACTGTAGTCGAAGTAAAGAAACACGATGACACGGGCATTTCTGCCATCTTGAGAGTGCCGCCACAACATCGCCGCATGAGTAGGTGGATCTTCCCTTCTAGTACATGCTGGGTTATCATAGCGACACACGACGAAAATTCACAGTCAAGGATAGCGCTTTTACGCGGAACGATGAGCTGTCTACGTCGACGATCACAACCGACGCCATGTTTGCGGATAGAAGCAGCCAGCCCGCCGGCTCGCGACCGGCATGCAACGTGCGCGAACACTTCTCCTCGACCTGCGATTGGTCTGTCGTTGCAGTTGTTTCCAACCATCGCAGCGGAGGGACGCATGCAGGTGAACGACACGTGCGTGCGTCCCTCCATCGCTATGGCAACTGAAGCCTCTCTTCGCTTGCTTCGCTTCTCCTTCTCCCCGCTTCTTCCAGCAACCTCCTCGCCCCGCGAGTGCCGCTTGCGGCTCGCGCCCTTATCTAGCGCCGCACAAGGAAGCGTGCTCGCTGCGCCGGTCAGTTGGCACGGCCGCCGGGCTGTTCCAGAAACCGCACTATAACCGGTATTTCCCTTCGTGCGCCTGCATTTTAAGCGGTATGTAATTACATGGAGTTCTATGGGAGGCGAACCGGTGGTTTAAAAAAGCCGCGTTATACCCGGTCCTGCACTATAAGCAGTTACGTTGTAGGTGGTCTATACTGTACCGCATTGTGACCACGGGTAACCAGAATATTCGTGCTTCATATGCTGCTTGCCAAGCTACTCTTTGAATTGGCTACTCTTTGAGAACAAGCTACTCTTTGAAAAGCACGAATGACCCAGAGACTCGCGGCCGTTTGTTGGCACAATGCAGACAAACGCATTTGAACGCAACTGCGTGTATGGACCTTATTTTTTGTCGATGTTGTTTATTGCCAATCGCGTTGCGAGTGGCGCTATCGTATTACGATTACTTATCACGAAGAACAATAATTGTAGTGTGGGTCATCAAAGGCGCAAGCTCAATATTAAAGATAAAAAAAAAAAATGAAAATTATTTTTTCTGGCTTTTAAGAAACTGCAAATACATCTATTGAAAAATAAAAAATTTTGCAAAATGCCGGAAGCACATGCACCGCGTAATTCTCAGCACAGCGTCGTATCGGAGTTCCCCCTTATGTGCTTGACCATCACAATGCAAAAAAAAAAAAAAGTGTTTGGGAGTAGCCACGTGATTTCCGGCAACTGCCTCCTCCTCTATACTTTTCCCTCTTCTCTCGTGGACATGTCGCACCACTACTCCGTGATCGTGTTTCCGTTTCGATTTTGAGCAGTTGCGTTTTTTGGCATGATTAAAAATATACGTGACTCCGTAGCAAAATATTAATTGGGTAGTCTTCTGACACAGTATTAAAATGCCTGGTAAAAAATACCACTAAATTTTTGGGGGGTGTCGGTGTCTCTTTAACGCGAATGCCATCGGCTTTACTAGCCCACGGCATGACACAAGTATGGTCCTGCTCGAAGAGGTTCGGCGTAAAAGCGATGGAATCTTGAGCTCACACGCAGAGACGCTTACCGATGACTTCGTTCCCGCATATTCGCACAAACACTTCGGTACGTCACACGTGCAGAAAGGTTTCTTTCGATGAAAGGCTGGACGGGTGCGCAGGAAAGACTGCAGTGTGCGAGACGAGGTCTGAAAGAAGCTTTTGGACATGGACCCGGAGGAGTACTGGAAATTTCAGCACCTCAGCCTGGAGCAGTTCCTGTAGCTCCCTTCACATATGGAACCAAGAAACGCGCAACAAAACGAACGAAGAACAATAATGTGCCATTTTTGTTTTCTGGCTAGCTAAATTGCTAGCCAGCATACCCACAACCCAAGTTTGTTTTCTCGAGAGAAAATTAAAAAAAATTTAGAGCCCTTCCACTTTATGTGAAGATGGACAACCAGCGAAGCTGTTATCTTTACGACGTCTAGCACAATGCCTAGAAGACGTCTAGGACGACCTCAAGGACGACAGCTAGGGCGACTTCTAGGACGGCCTCGAGGACGACGCCTAGGATGACCTCAGGAACGACGTCTAGGACAACCTCAAGGACGACGTCTAGGACGACCTCAAGGAAGACGCCTAAAGGAAGACCTCGAGGATGCCTAGAGGACAACATCTAGAATGACCTCAAGGACGACTTCTAGGATGACCTCTCTAACAACCTCAAGGACGACTTCTAGGATGACCTCAAGGATGACTTCTAAAACAACCTCAAGGACGACTTCTAGGATGACCTCAAGGATGACTAATAGGACGAAGCCTAGAGGACCTCTTAGACGACCTCTAGGACGATGCCTAGAGATAAAAACAAGAGATCAGGACCTATCTAATAATGCCAAGGAAGGCTGACTCACACTGGTTGCCCCCCTTTTTTCTTTTTATTTATTCATACTTGCCACGACCAATGGGGAGTTTTCTGTCAACATCCGCAGACGCATTTTTTCCCAGATCCTGGCACGTAACAGCTTCACTGTAAAATTAAGGGTCAACCTATAATCGTGACCAGTGAATTTTAACCTACATTAGTGACCGAATTTCGCAACCCTACTGAGGGCATGGAGCTATCAAGTCACCGACCTAGCGTCGCCGTAGAGCCGCGGCGCTGTTTCTTCTTTCAGAATGCTTCTGGTGCACGAAAACAACCGAAAGAGCAGCAGCCGGCGGCACACCTGCAGTGGCCGCCGCTCACGTCCCTCAAGTGTCGAGTTTCGCACCTCATCGCGGCCGGCGCCGCCTCACGCATGCCCCTCGCTACGCAAGACGGAAAAAGGAGGGAGAGGGATGCAATGCACCATGCTTGGCCGTGCATTTGAACCCTCCCCTCCCTTCATCCCTCTCTCCCTCGCGGACGTGCAGCAAAATAAAATACAAAGGTTACTTTCACTTCTTGTTGCTCACTGCGGCTCGCGCATTTCTCACGGCGACTCGCAGTGTTGCTTGCGTCTTTGTATTTGGTCTTTCGTCGCTTCGGCTGTCTCCACCTTCTTTCGTTTCTTGTTGTCGTCATTTTGCAACGGTGTCAGTGAGGTACTGTTGCGAATTTCTGAGGATGGCTGCGAAGCTGACAAAGTTTCCAACAACAATGACATGCCCGGTAGTTCTGACAATGATTGAGTTTTTGGCATTGCGCATTGATTTAACTGAGAGCGCTGTAAATAAAGGTTAGCTTTTTCTTTTGCCCAAACTTCGACCTATACTTAAATCCTTTTTTTTATTCTAGTTGAGTTTTGATATAAAGGCATGCACCTATATTTGTGGTCAACTTATATTTGAGCAAATATGGTAGTATTTAGCGAAAGTAGAAAAATTATTTTATGACCCCTGTAAGTCCACATGCCAGTGGACTGAAATAGTATTTTATTTCTATTCCAGTAAACCTTCCTCACAAAAATATATATTTTTCATTGTTATGTAATTAAAAAAAAAATTTGTTTTGATTAATTTTTTATTGAAAACAAAGACGAGCCGACTGCTTTCACTTTGACCAACTGCCTGACAAGCCTCAATTAATGTCATGGTCCATGGGACTCAAAAGCTGGATTTCTTCACAGTCTCAGGCGTCGCTGTCATCAGTCCCGGTGTCATTATTGCTCAATCTGTTAAATTAATTTGTGCAGTGCGCAAGCGCAGCTTCGAGCTAAAACTTCGTCAACATTACCTTCTTTAAACTGAACTTCCAAATAATCTTCATGATCCCTTTAAGTAGGCCTTACAGAAACTGCCAAGGTAAATTATGCCAGCTTAACAGCATAAAAGGTAGGGCCAATGACCAAACACAAACATATGTGGCAATGAAAAATATATGCCGCTCATCAGAATTATTGGGAATGAAAATTCATGTTGAAGTTTATAGGTGATGCACTTGGTTATGAGAAAAATCAGATTTCAATATTTTCCCTTTTCTTTCTGAAAGTAACTCCCTAAAAAACAAAAATACAGTCGAGTCCACTTATAACGATACCGTTTATAATAATATATCGGTTATAACAATGAACAACGATGGCACCGTCCATTTTTATACGCTTTCAATGGTAAAATAAACCGCTTATTACGATGCTCCAGGGCTGCGATATCGGATATAGCGATTGATTCCGGTTACAGCACGCGCCGAAAATGCCAGCTGCCGCCGGCTCTCCGCGGCATGCTGCGCCCCGCGCACGACCCCGCGCCACGCATCCCTTCCACCCCTCAGAAAACGAGTCGACTGCGCCGCTTACTAGGAAGGAGGCGAGAGGAGGAGCAGCTTTTTCCGAGCTCCCCTCCCGGAGCCGCCGCTTTGGCCTCGTCCGCGCACCCGGCCGCGCCCATCGCACCTCTGGCGCCACTCGCTCGCTCACTCGCCTGTTGTGAGTTTGCTGCTTTGACCATCTTTCTCCAACTTCGTTTTACGTTTCACTGCGGACGGGGCGTCATGCCCGATCCGCCAGCGGCGCATTCTATGCAAGATCGGATCTGGACAACTTCCTTCATGCAGACGATGTTGTGGAAACGTCCGAGTGCCTCAGTGATGAGGCGATCGTCGCGCGTGTACGTGCTGCGGACAGCGGTGAAAGCAACGACTCCGACGACGCAGTTGAGGAGCCTACCTAGGTACTGTCATCGCAGGAGGCCCAGTGGATGATACAGTCCCTCCTGGACTTTGTTTTCGTGAAGGACCTCCCGCTAAGCTACATGGAGCACCGAGATGCTCTAGAGAAAGATGTGCGCCAGCTTCGTGTGAAGCAATCAAAGCTGACAGACTATGGCTTTTCTGCAAACAAGTAGTTGCACTTGCACTACCTTACTTGCTTGCAAATAAAATGTTTCAATCTCTCTTTTGTCTTTTTTTTTTCTCAACCCGGTTATAACAATTATTGGTTATAACGATGGTATTTTCTTGGCACTTGGATATCGTTATAAGTGGACTCGACTGTATTCAGTAAGGAGAAGAATTCACCTAAGAAACATCAGTTTTCAGAATGTGAATGCAGTCATTGCTGTATTAAAAGTCTCCCTGAAAGCAGAGTACTTCCGAAGTAATCGTACAAAACTAAACTAGGATATGTTCAAGAGTCAAGTGTCATGGTTGGTTGGCTTACTTGTTGCAACAAACTGTTACTTTTATGTGCACACACAGACATTTGTGCAGGGGTTAAGTTTGTAGTCCCAAGGAAAATTAGAATTTATCATATAAGATAAGGCCACTGGACACAGCACCATGAACTGTTTTCCCAAAGACTTCATGCCACTTACACAATGCCCCAGGCAGGATTTTCGAACAGAAGCAGCAGGGAGTCTTCGAAGGCTTCTTCCTGCAACGGAGATGACAAAGTCAACTCTGCTCCCTAAATGTCACGATCTACCACACTGACAGCCTTTTCAGCAGACAGGACACAAAGTGTGCCAGTCGTGCAAAAAGTTGAAGGCCTTCGGCAAGCTTTTGATTCGCTCTCAGATTCAACAGAGTGCCCACTCGCAGCAGTCTTCAAATGTCGCTCGCTTCCAAAAGAATGCAAACCTTAAATGACGTACTGAGAATCCTAGGACGAAAAACTGAAATTAATTTATGAGCCAATGTACCGTTGTTAACCGCTTTTGGACAAGTCAACATTCAACGTGCGCTCCGGAAGTAGCTTCTTTTCACATTAGGAACTATAAAAGCCAGTGTGCTGCAGCTCAACTGAGCTGTTATCTACTACATGGTCATGCTAATCTCTTCAACATTATTTATGTTTTCTTTGTCTCCCTCGGCATTCCGGAGACAAAACAACTCAGCGAACATGTCGGCTTTAACAATACCCCTAAAGACACTTAAAAGAAATGGCACAGCTATTCTTTCATTCCACTCTAATCGAAAAAGGTTGCTAGATTTCGAGAATTCGGGCTCCTCAAGGAACCCGGTCTGGGAACCGACCCGCTACATTCGTAGCTTAACAGAATGAGCTCCTCAAACTACTCGTGAATCACACAAATCCGCAACATTTCTACGCACATTACTGGGGTTGTGTATTTTTGGACTATAGTTGCTTGAGTTAGGGGGCGGGGCATTTTAGGGGGTTTATTTTATCACAGGCTCGGTGTCTTCGGAGTCAATTTTCGGAGTCGGACACAGACATAGGATTTCCTGACCTCCAGGGAATGCTTGCATTTCCCAAATACTAGGAAAACATCCCAGTAGAGATAAGAGAAGGAGAGAGAAAGGCTACTGTTTTCGAAAAAAGAAGCACCTTCACAGACAGTTCAATTGCACAAACAGTGTTCTGAATAAACACAAAATAAAGAGAAGCCAGGGGCTTCCTTAATCAAGGACAACTCCAATTTGGTGTTTTTAGTTTTCTTCTATTTCGATAAAATGAACTGGGGGTTAACTTTCCAGAGCTTATCGGTATAAATTTTGAAAACACGAAATCCCAGTTACTACCTACTAGCCACTTGAGAAATTCACAATAGCCGTGTGACTCATTATTGAAGCCCCGCTGTTCTTTCGCTATCACTCTCCGTGTACATCCTTCTCTATCCACCAGAGGGGCCTCGAAGAAACCTACTCGAATGGACAGATAAACGAGATTCGCGATAGTGTAGGACACTCACCGCAAGCAAGTCGTCCTTCGCTCGACGCATCTCCTCGAAGCACTCGTCGTAGCTCAGGCTTGGCTGGGCCGTCTCGCCGCACTCATACTTTCCTGACAACAAATGCAGAACCATGAAGGGTGATTAGACAAACAAACCAGTCGCCACAGAGCCTGGTACGCGTCTTCAATCGGTATGTTTAGTATCCTACACTCGTCGAAAGCGGTGCCGGAATGTTGGAGGGCTACACCACGTGCACACACGTTTCGTGTTGTCGGGTGTCAGGACCCCGGCGGTCAATTGTACGAGTTCCGGCGAAAAAAAAAAAAAAAAAGCAAATGCGAGAGTCGGCGTTGTCACAACGTTTTGACCCCTAGCCACCAGAGCTTTCGTAGACCGTTGAGTTGAAGAGACACCCACGGCGCAATAGGCACCTGTTATACTAGGCTCTGTTGCCGGGACGCCGCCGGGAACGCGGCGGGGAACAGTGCGACGCTTCCGCGACGTCACGGAAATATAGAAACCACAAACGAGGACGCAGTAAACGCGCTGGTTGGAGACGCATCCCGGCAAGATGCTATCGCCGCCGGACCGCTACCCTCACGGCCGCCGGGTAGCCGCGGCGTGCCAAATCCTCCTGGCTTCTGATCCCAGGCGGCAGGCGACGCAAGCGCCACGTTGGCGATGCAGAGAATCTACCGTAAGAAGCTTCAAGTATGGCGAAGTAACTTGGAGCTCTGCAGGGTAGTGGCGAGAACTACGAGGCAATCGGTTGGTTTGACACTCCAAGAAAAGCGAACCCGATGAAGCGCCGCAAAAGTTTCCAACAAATGCCAGCACACAGCAAAGAGGTGAACGGCGAAAAATAGGGGGTGGGACGGCAAGACCTCGTTCAAAACGAGCAATAAGCATGAGGGCATCCATTAGAACTTGCACTGCGTGGGAACCGATGCCGCAGATTGCGGCCATTTCACCGACCTGCTTTAAATGTGATAGCATTTCTTTAAGCAGCTTTCCCCTTCCCAACCCGGGAGAATAAGTTATGTTCTGTAACACAAAACAAAAGCACATGCCTGGAAGAGCGGCAAGAAGATGAACTGACAAAAAAAGAACAAATTCAGGATGTCCCCCCCGGGGAAGCGAACCCCCGACCCCAAGGTCATGAGCCTGACACCCGACCACGGTGCCGAAGGGGAGGCTTCTGAGCCAATGTTTATTACATGTGACAACATTTCTTTCACCATCTGACACCACGAAACACAGAAGTACAATCGTCAACAGATTTTTTGGACGCCGATATTTCGGACTTGTTCCATATTTCGAACCTAAAAGCGGAACCAAGACCCATCCGATGGAAATAGAGCATATTCACGACCAATGTTTTGGACAGATTGAAGTCCGAAAGTTTGATTTTCCGGACAATATCGTAGCGAGCGATCAGCGGGAAACACCACCGAGAGGCCGCCATTTTAGATTCTATGTTGGCTGTGCATGGATTGGCTTGGTGTTTGGCAGTGCTACTTGAGTACTGCTAAGTCCTACCGCTAGGTGACACTATGCTACGGCTTTTTTTTTTTTCCCCTCCAGTTGCACGTCATTATCATCATCAATGTTACAATTTTGCTTTACTCATTCACCATTTGGCAGTTGTGGACTAGCGCCTCTCATCTAGTCTCCTTGAATTGTGTTTTCAAACAATGCTGGATTGGACGTCATAGCCTTATCTGTTCTTCCGCCGCCGCGAAGTGTCACGAAGAAGCGCAGAAAGTACTCAACCATAATGATAGAGAAGAAGGCAGCGATTCTCAAGCTAATAGAAAGTGGCCGAATGCAAGTGGAGGCGTAACCTGAAGCAAGGCACTATTGACAGCTTTTCTTAGACCCGCTTAGACGTTATAAAGGCAATTTTTTAATCTCCTCATTTTCCAGACTGCTCTATTATTCAAACGTTCCTTCGGTCCCTGCGAAGTCCAAAAAATCGGTCGGCCACTGCAGTTGCACAGGCAAGTTGTTGCGACTTTTGCTCCCACTGCACGAGGGCTCAAACAGCCGAGGCGCGATTGAACGCCTCGGTTGCGCTAGTGACCGCCATTGTGCGACACTTATATTGTAGAAAGAGATCTACAATATAAGTGTTTATGCTCGTTAGAAGTGCTCCGGTCATCTTTACACTGCCTCGCCAGTGAAAAGAGAATCGATGAGTCAAGCGCAGATGGGCAAGAAACCTAGTCACCTGCCAGGTTGCCCAACAGCCTCTGGATGCGGCCCGCGAGCTCCAGCGCTGCGGGAACATTTGCCTCCCAGATGCAGGGCCTCTGCGAAGGCACAACAGAGAAGTCGACCTGGAACCCAACCAGTCGGACAACGTGAGCCGAGGTACTGCGCCGGTTGTGCCCAGGGCATTCGCGCGGACACCATCCGTGCCGAGGTCACACCGCCATTGCTCGTCGACATTCCTCGAGCTCTCTCTCCCCGTCGTGTCGTCTACGAGAAACGCATCTATGTATACCAACTGTGGGAATTGTGTACGTGCCCCTCAATGTTTGTAAGTGAGTGTTTTTGTCCACACGAGTGGTGGGAGTCGCACAAAGGTGGGAATCCAATTCTTTTTCTTTTTCTCAACAGTGAAAACGCTACCCATGCTGCGTTTCGTCGTTAGTATCACCACCTTGGTGTGATGACAGGAATGTGTGCTAGCATAGAGGAACTGTTAAGAGGATCCAGTGAGACAGAGTAATTATGTGTATATACAGGGTGATTAAATCTCAATCCGAACAGATTTATTGAAAGAAAAAAAGCCGTGCAAGGTACACTGGTCTGTGCACGTGGGTTAAACGTCCAGAGGAACATAATATAGGGGGTTATTTGTCACGAAAACAGGGATAATTTCATAATTAACTAAATTCGGTTAATTAACTTTTTAATTAGTGAAAATGAGCATAGGGTTCAAATTAGAAACTTGCTGAGCATCACCTAAAGCCATCAAATTAGTCAAGCTCAGAAAGATATAGACACGTGGCTGTGTAACTCACCTGCACAGGTGACATTAATGTACCTTACACGGCTCTTTTTTTTAATAAACCTGCTCAGATCGAGAATGTTGCAGGAGCGAGTGAGTGTGATTCTTGGTAGCACAATGCTGAACAACTTTTCTGATGACTATAAATTTACTATAGGTATAAAATTTCATTAAGAGTGCTTGCGTGTTGTTTCTTTCTAACGTGAATAATAGACCACTTACAACGTAACCGCTTATAGTGCAGGACCAGGTATAACACGGCTTTTTTAAACTACCGGTTCGCCTCCCATAGAACTCCATGTAATTACATACCGCTTAAAATGCAGGCGCACGAAGGGAAATACCGGTTATAGTGCGGTTTCTGGAACAGCCCGCCGACCGTGGCGACCGACTGGCGCAGTGAGCACGCTTCCCTGTGCGACACTAGATAACGGCGCGAGCCGCAAGCGGCACTCGCGGGGCAAGGAGGTTGCTCGAAGAAGCGGGGAGAAGCGAAGAGAGAGGCTTCAGTTGCTATAGCGACGGAGGGACGCACGCACGTGTCGTTCACGTGCATGCCTCTGCTGAGTTGGAAACACAGACCAATCGCAGGTCGAGGAGAAGTGTTTGCGCGCGTTGCATGCCGGTCGCGGGCCGGCTGCTTCTATCCGCAAACATGGCGTCGGTTGTGATCGTCGCCGTATACGGCGTGGTGGAAGCTCATCGTTCTGCGTAAAAGCGCTATCTTTGACTGTGAATTTTCAATGTGTGTCGTTATGATAACCCAGCAGGTACTAGGAGGGAAGATCCGCCTACTCGTGCGGCGATGTCGTGGCGGCACTCTCAAGACAGCAGAAATGCCTGTGTAATCGTGTTTGTTTACTTCGACTACAGTGGTGCTTTCCAAGCATTTGTGTTTTCGAACATCGCCCCGATTTCTTATTTGGAGCATTTCATGCATGTGCTCAAGTTGAAGGTATTACTGGCACGTACCGTATAAAGGATCCGAATTTTCGCGCGTTTTCATCAATGGAGAAAAGTGAATAGGGTTAGCAATCCTGAACACTTGCAACGTCCATCCGCAACCCGCGACGCCGTTAAAAGGCTGCACCAGGCAAAAGTCACTCATTTCTTTCAAAATGTGTGACACACTTGAGAGAGGAGTGTACTATTCTGGTGAAGTAAAGACTGTCCTCAAACTAAACTTTATTTTTCATCTAACATAAAATAAATTGTTTTACAAACGTAAGTTGTCTCATGGCATGTATCTGGCCTGAAAAATGGATGTTTTGGTTATAGCGCGGTACCGCTTATAGTGCGGATTTTTGCGACTCCCGCGTCATACGTTATATGCGGTCTACACTGTAGCACAATGCTGAACAAGTTTTCTGATGACTATAAATTTCCTGTACGTATACAATTCCATTAAGAGTGCTTGCGTGTTGTTTCTTTCTAACGTGAATACACATACAAACAGCATATCCCACCAGACAGCTTCATGTAAAGCATTTAGAGGTAATAAAAGAAGATTATATTGAGTTCCACTGGCACGACGCTCGCTCCAAAAGACTTCCAGAAGGTAAAAGACATTGGAAACAAGGCTAAGACCTACTGTCAAACCCATTTATAACGAACTCGGTCGGAACCACATGTCAGTGTGACATAAAAGTTGGTATATATTTCGTTACGTCACAACCTGCACAGAGCAAATATCAAGTTTGGCAGCCGTGCAGGGCAGCTAAAGTCGCTACGAACACTGCGGTTTGTTACAGTATCAGGATTAGCGTGTGAAAGTCCAACCTAGACAAAGGCTACTAGAAAAACAATAGTAGACGACACACCCCACTGATCTTGGCATCTCGGCCATCACAGTACAGACCGCTTGATGAGGGAAGATACAAATAGCTAAATATTATGCGCAACCAATCTTGTCGGAAAGAAAAAGAAATGCCTCGACCTTCTCTTTTCGGCCCGCCGCTCTCTTCCTAAAGTTTTCTGCTCACACTTTTTATCTGCTGCTGCTCATGCCGTGCGAGCTTTTTTTTTTTTTTTTTTTTTTTTTTGCAGAAAAAGGTGTTTGCACGTTTTTGAGGGTTAGGCTTTCTAATAGCTTGATATAGTACAAGTCAATCAGTTGTTTTGTTATAGAAAATAAGTTTACGCGGATTTTCGTTTTAAATATTTAGACAATAATTAATTACGACCAGGCTTGTCATAAACAGGTTTGACTGTAGTCACAACTTCGGCGTCCAAGTCCGTGTTTGCTTCGATATTACAATCATTGCGTCTTGGGCACAAGAAGAGATGTAAAGCTTCCAACACAGGATACGTCGGGAGGGAACGAACGACGAAGCAGGTGCTTAGAATAAATGGCGGCGCTACTCACGTTCCTCGAATTTTCGCACAGTGTGGCGTTGTAAGGAGAGTCCGTCCTCGGTCGGGACTTGGGCTTGGACCCTGGAAAAAAGGCAATGGCATCACTTCTTTATTTTATTTTATTCGGGATAAAATATTGCCTCCGAGCTCTGCCAAAAGACCAAATAGGTTTCCCTCGCTAAAATATTTTCTCTTAACAGTTTGGCCGCGATGCATCGGACCTTGTGGCTTCCTGGGGAGAGGCAAATGACCCAGTACCACAATTGTTTGTATATTGTAATAACAAAACCAAAAAAAAAGACTGCAGAGTAGGGCCTTGCGTACCATACACGAGAGCGCGTGAAATCCTTCACAGATTTCTTGTTCCCCGACACGAAGTATCAAGTTTAGGGTTTTACGTGGCAAACCTACGAAGGGCACAGGCTTGCCCCGGCGGAGAACTAGAGACTAATTCGGACCGCCCGGGCGTTTTTCCGACGTGCAACAGAAATCTCGGTTACACGGCGCCTCCTCCGCAATAAGCCTTCATCGGATTGTGGGCACCTCAGTTGGGATTAAAACCCGCAAACCGCAGAACCGTAGGCCGGCGTTCAGCCTCCGAGCAACGGAAAAATGTTGTTTATTCCTAAGGTTCCGTGTTTTCCGATAAATATAATAAAATCCAAAAAAACACTTACGGTAAAATTTTTTCGGAATTCAGATTTACCCAAAAACTTAAGGCTTCAATGTCACAACGCAAAAAAAAAAGAAAAACAGAATGGTATTTTTTAAATAAGCTTGTTCAGAGCACAGGACCGGTGGTCATCAGGATCCTGAGGAGAGGCCACTCGAGTTTCCTTCAAAGTCTCAAATTACTGACAAAAGGAGGTTCACCATTGATTTTGTCAAGTTTTGTTTGGGACAACGGGTCATGGAAATCTTGCACCACACAACAAGAGCTACTGTTTTAATTTCCAGCTTGGAATTCTTGAAAAAAAAAATTGGGGTTTGTGCATATTCATACAGCCTAGAACTTAGTCTGCCTCAACGGGCGACTCGTCTCCCAGCTATCGATGAGAAATTTAGCCAGTGCGGTACAACTGCAAGCCTGGGGTCTATAACGTGCATCACGCAGTAGTGATGCACAACCGCACGTCAGTAAGATGCTCATCCAGATCGAAAAGGGCAGGGGCGGGGATTGAACCCAGGATTTCTGGGTTCTGCAGCGCGAGCTTTCGCTCCATGTGCTCCGAGCTGGTATGCGCTAGCCCACTCACCAACCAATCCCCCTCTTGGACTTCTTGAAAGGGGTGGGGCTGTATTTTCTGATAAATGTGAAAGCTATGATCAGAGGAGGGCGGGAAGCACCTAAGGGTTCTCTCGTACGACTAGAAAACAAGGTTTCCAGAGGCTACGTCCAGGATTAAAGTGATTTTAAAAAGTAACTGCAAAGGAAAAGAAGTGTTTTTTTAAACAGCCTAATTGGGACAAGCATGTCACAAAACAAATCTTTGGCGAAAACAAAAAAATTTCTTTAGCAATATTTACACCACAGGACAAAATTTAGTCGGATTCACAACCTCTCCACATTTGAAACTCCCGCTCTTTCGACCCGCAAGGACGTAATCCCAAGCTAAAATTTATGATAACAGTACATATTCAATTCAAACAACTGTACGTAAGATAATTCGGAAGACGAGATAAACAAAAAAAGAAGATATGTTGTCTAAAGCAGAATTTGGACGTCCGAAGGCTTCTGCGGACAGCTGTTATGTAATAGCCTGGCTGTGCCAGGATTTTTGCGTAACAGATGTGTCTCAGTCACGGACGTTCGGTGCACCCGGTTCGAATCTCGAAGGCTCGGAGCGAAATGACGACAACATACCTGGACCCGTTTGTCGCTACGCGAACGCCCGATTACCTGCACCCAAATAGTATTCAGCTTATGATCTTTCGGGGCAACATGGCAGCTGGAAGACTCGCTGTTGCGATAATTCATTTCGCAGCACTTTACAGAGCAACGACGCCGCTTTACAGAAGCTGACATCTCAAAAAAAAAAAAACATTTACAAGCACAAGCAAAAAAAAAAATAATAATAAGAGAGCACGTTAAGAAAGCAAAGAGGGAAACGAAAGTAACAAACCGCACTATGATAGCCAAAACCCCGCGTCGCTTCCTATCACTAACACTGGTGACAGCTGCTAAACACACACTACTTCACTTCAGGAAGTCTCATGGTGAATTCCGCTCGCATATCTCGAGCTCTCCAAAAGCACTCCATTTCGACCGCGCATATTCTGCTCGCAAATCTGGCTCGAGTTGGTCATCCTCCGCTCGTAGATCTCCTGGCAGCACATGCTCCATAAAGCGCCTCCAACCCCGCCGAACTTGCTCCCCGAGATTTCACGGATCGATCCGGAACTTGACAGAGCGCATACGTCATTTCCTTTTTTAAATAGACAATGCGCATGCGCGACGAGGTTGGCGAGGTTGCCAGCCGGACCGGTCGGGCCAATTGGGCCATCGAGTTGGATCTCTTCAGATGCGTTGGTTGTTTACGCAGGATTGTGATGGCTTGAACGCTCCTACCTCGCGTAGATCAGGGATACAAAGCCGGGATTGGAGCGTGGTAAATCATAAGCGCTGATATCTGTGATTGTGAGAGGAAGAACGACAAAAAGAACGACAGAAAATCCAAAGGCAGAAGACGCAAGGTTAGGCCTGTTCATTCTGCAGCCAATGATTGTTTACGTTTTTACACTGCATGCCGCCGGCGTTTTCTCGTGCAATAAAGCAAGAACAGATTAAACAACAACCGTGCATGTGATGGTTTCCTCTGTGTGTTTATTCAAGTCTTGCCAGCAATTTGAACTCCACTGAGGGCGATCACTATGCGTACCCCGCCGCTTCCAGGTGGCTGAAAGGTATGTGACGGTGTCGAACGCGGACGTCTTCCTTGTTATTTGTGAAATGGGCACTGTGGTGTGTATAATTTTGCCCGGCCTGTGTCACGTGTTATTTCTGCAGCTAAGCAGTAAGAGTTGACACTGGTCATCGGAAAGATCAGTTGGCTGAGGCGTTGGTGGGCTTGTCAAGTTCGAGCAGCGGCCATTTTGAACGGCCGAGGGGGAAGTGGGGGGAGGGGTGTGGGGGAGGTCGCTCCAAAAATGCGAGTTTATTTTCCCCTCATCGATTCGGAGTGGGTCCTACGGAGCGGAATTTTTCCTTCCTCACGGAGTTTGGAAAGCGCTCCGGATCTACTCGCGGATTTTAGAAAGCGCTCCGGATCTACGAGTAGAATTCACCATCACTCAAGCACCTGAGTCAACATGAAAACACTGATCACTTCGGCGAAACGGCTAGTCGAGGTAGGCGAGACAGGCAGGAGCAGAGACATCGGCGGCCATGAAACAATGGCGAAGCTTTAGTTTGTTATGGTATGAATCCAAACGGAAGTACCCGTCTTGTAAACCTTTTGTAAAAAATAATAACTCTCATTACATGGGTCACCCTTTAAACGTAAAAATATACCGCTCAAAAGAAAATTACAACATATAACTAAGGTTAAAGAACCAAGATCTAAGCTGTCAATCAAACTCTTAACCAATGAGAAGAATAGCAGCCAACTGGGGCTAAGCGTCACAGAACACCAACTTCGTGGCGCCTGATTTGAAACGGACGAAATAGCCGCAAACTAAAATCAGTCTCACGCAATAAATATTGCTGTAAAAAGTTGTTTTTTTCTCGCGGAAAAATTGTTTTTTGACATGCTTGTCCCAATTAGGCTGTTTAAAAAATATCTTTTCTTTCTTAGCAGTTACCCTTTAAGCTATAGATGTTTCTTGAAGCAACACTTGTCTGGAAATTTTGTTGTGGGACTTAGCACTAGTGATGGCAAGGGCATGAATGCCAAATCCAGATGAAGATACAGGGGAGTGTCTAGAAATTTAGGGCAGGCCTGTATCCAGATGATGTTTGTGTTTATATTTATTCTTAAAGGGACCATGAAACGATTCTTAAATCGAATTTCGTCCACCGATCGTCGTAAAAGGTGTGAAAAGAAACACAAAAACACAAAAATAGGGAGCCAAAAAAAATTCTTCGCTATAAAACTTTTAACAGAAAACTGGACCCTTTTGCGCCTTCTTTGCTTTGAAAGCTCTCTGCCTTTTCACTGCGATGCATCCGCGGAATCGCAGCACGTCAGCCGAATCCACGTCGCCTATTGGGTAAGAGCCTAACTCATCAGCACCGTGATCATAAACAATAAATAGCCGGCGAATGTTTCCTAAAAGTTTTGTTAAATAATATTCAGATCCACAATTTGGAGCATAATTAGAGATGTGACTAAAATTGCCAAATTTGATAATGCTGAGAGCCAAGCACCATCTATCGTGTGGTAAACGATGCAACTACAGTAGGGCCGACAGCATCACTCAGTTACTTTGTCGCGACGACCAACGAACGTTTATTTTTCTACGTGTTCTTCCCGTGAGCCCCGACTTCAAGCAGCAAGAAAGAAGTACTTGAAACAGACCATGACGAACAAGAACGCTGGATCCACAAACACCCGAGAAAAGCTACAACGGTGACGAATACCTCCGCAGATAGGCATAGCAGGCACTCCGACTCGGCGCAGCGTTGCTTCAACGGTACTTGGCCAAGACCGTCTGCCCACGACCGGCTGGCGTGCTGAATGGAATATGCCTGCCCTACCCTTGTGCATGCACCCTTCCCGTATCATAGTTTGATCGCCGACCTCAATTTTAGATTAAGAGGCGAGGTCAATCTCTTACCCTTGTCATCTCCTTGTTTTCCGAGACAGTGGTGACGAACACTGTCATCGAAAAGGGACTCTCATTGATTCTATCTTCTTGTTTTGAATGATATAGAGCTCAAATAAATGCCGTATGGATTACCTTCATAACACGGTATGTACAAATTGTTATTAGTATGCTATTTTTATTCTGACACGACTGCACGTCACACTCGAGCTATAACAGTTTGCGGGAGCTACATGCAATGCCGGTCCAACCTTCCTTTGCCGAGTGTCACGTCAATATCGAGTTGCAATAGTAACAGATCGGTCCCGAAGCGCTTACCAACAGCGCGAATACAGCACCTCCACCAAATGCGCGCGTCCGCTCCGAGTGTGAACAGGTACCTATTTACGTGGCTCCTGCTGACTCTGTCGTAGTTCAAACGTATTTTTTTTAACGTCGGCTCGCTCCTGCATCTCCGAGGCCGCGAAAAAAGCCGCGGCAATTTGTTTCCATCTACGTCGCTTTGCAAACGACTGACACGGGCCGCCTTTTACCAACAATGAAAGTTGGGCTGACTTCTGGAGTCTTCACCGGAAGACTCGCCGCACTTCCCAACAGGCATACTGGCATATGGGACTAGTCCCATGCTGTCGCTGTAGCGCAACATATCTAATTGAATTTCACTCAGCTGCGATGTGTCCATAGCTATTGCGGCGATGAGAGGCGCCGATTCAGAAAATATGTCGGTGACATCAGCGCCATCACGCACTAAAACCTACCGGCGCACCCCGAACTCGCCGCCGCTAACGCTCCCATTCTCCTACAGCCGAGAAAACTTCCGGTTCCTGTGCTTGTTTTGCGGTCAGTTGGAGAGAAAGAAAAAGTTGATATTTCATTAATTTTTTTAGTAAAAGTTAATAAACTTAGACGAAAATGGATGCCTGTTTGGCATTCAGTGAACGTTGAAGGTTTAATGTAAAAGTTATCTGGCAAAAGTAAAAAGGCAATTTCATGGTCCCTTTAAGAAAATTGGGCACACAGCAATACTAAGTTTTGAATTTCAAAGAATCTGGAATCAATCACAAATAAACTTCAAGAAACAACCTACGAATATCACGAGATGAGTTCCAAAAACACAAAACCCTAGTTAGTATAATGAACTAGTAATGTTTGTTGCACGCTTCGGATGGTGTACTTTCAACATAGTTTTAGACCAGTTTAAATGAACAAAACTGAGGCGGTGCTGCAAATATAATAAAATAAAGCGCCAAACTCTGAGCAACGTTTCTGTGAAGAAGTCGGAAACTAAGGTGCCGTATTTTGAGCAAAATATTTACCATTTTGAATGTCCCATTTACGATTCCAAGAGCCTTGTGCAAGATGGTCGTGCGCACAAGCACTTTGACATCGTTGCCTTCACCTCGCTCGTAATACTTTTAATTATAGCGACCGACAAGCGCGTGCTTGAGAACGGGTATTCGAAAAAGACGGCCTGCCCTTCTCACCTTGTCAGCGACTATGATTACTTTACAGCTTCGCGTCGAGACTACTTCCTGCTCACGACGAAACCTAAGCAGACGCACTCACCGGGCTGTGAAGGGTAACGGACCCCCATGTAGGCTGCGCCCAGGAACACGAAGAACAGCGCCGCAGCCAGGAGGAGCACAAATGAAACCCACTGATACCGGGGCCGCTGATCTGTGCTCGCCACAAACCCATTGCTGCGTCCAGCGTCTGTGGAAGGCAAAATGAACAGGTCACATTCATACACCGTGCAAACGCAAGCGTATGTGCACCTTCCAGAGATTCTAGGAATTCTAATAGTAGCACTTGTCGCCGCAGTCCATCACTGTTTGAGACTATCACGCTAACTAAGTCAATTTATTATTTATTTATTGATTATGCAGCACCACGCACATCCTTCAGCATTTGCAACGTCTTCCCTTAACCTTTAAAGCGGTAGATTTATAGGGCCAAAGAATCCCAGGAGCCGCATAAACACGAATGTGTAGGTCATTCAGTCTGTAACTTCCAAACAATCTTGGAGAAAATGGCAACCGGTGCAAGGAATTGAATCCCAGGTACCACCGTGGAAGCCGAGTGCGCCGCTGACCGAGCTACGGACCTAGCACGCAGGAACGGGAGGAGCAGAAGCAGGTGGTGTGAGAAAGCGTGCGGAGCAGACGGTTGAAAGGGCAATAAGGAAAAGAGCAGAAACAGGTGGTGTAGAAGGAGCATGCAGAAAAAGAAGGAGTGGAAAGGGCAGGAAAGGATGCTTCCCCTCTCTTGGTGACCCAGAAAATTCAGCACGAAGGATTTGTATCTGGGTGGTACTGAAAGGAAGTGTGCGCAGCGTCATAAATAGTCAATGGTGCGACATAATCTGTTTCCATATGAAACCCAGCCCTAGTCACCACCCAAACAAAGAGCACAACCCATCCTATAAAGCTACCGCATTTAAAGAGACACTAAAAGGGTATTTATGCTCGCCAAGGTTTTTATTTGTACCTGACATATGAGAGCCCAACTACCCAGAAAACAATGCGCAGCTCGAAATTTGTTTTTCTTTCCACATGAAAACTGCCAATCGACCAGTTTGAGTCACACTCACTCTCTTCTCCGTGGTCATGTGCCATTTTCTATGGTTTAGACACAGCCACCAAATATAATCAAAGTTGTGGGTCATCGAAGCCACACACATAATACTAAAAATAGAAAAGAAATATGATATCCATTTGTTGTAGGTTCTAAAAAACTGCAAATGCGTTAATCGCAAAAAAAAAAAAAAAAAAAGATTTGCAAAGCAGCTTTTTGACTTTTGCCAACTCTCTCCTCCTCTATATTTCTTCTTCCTCCCCAGTCCAGTTTCGGATTTGATTTCAAGCAGTTGCATTTTCTGACTCTTTTAAAAATATATGTGACGCTGTAGCAAAATATTGATTGGGTAGCCTTACGACAACATAATAAATCACCTGGCAAAAAATAAAAAATAAATTTTGGGGGGTGTCAGTGTCCCTTTTAATGCGTTTGGCAGAATGACCAAACATGCAGCCAATATTTGTCTTAGGAAGTCAATACACAAATCATAAGACACAGTACTACAGGCCATAAACACCCATAACAGGAGGTGCGAGCCACCACCTCATTCAAACATCCATCAATAGCTTCACTCCCGCATCACGGGTCCCAGTGTGCCTTTTCTCATTTTACCCTGCTCACCTAGTAAACATTTGGATGGCACTTTACAACTGTTTTCAGAATGCCAACCAAAAGCCTATTCGACCATTCAATATTTTTTGTGTTACACACAAAGAACATCGTCAATGAAAAGGAAGGTTAGTACTGCACATATGCCAACAGGCAAAAAAACGTTGACTGCAGATTGGCCAACGACGCATTGTGCTGTGGACGTCCTCTTGCGGAAAATATGAGCTGAAACAGTCCTTCGTGCTCTTTGGTGTGCCTGCCAGTTTCTGAAAGAGCTGTGATTCGAACTAGAAATGGAATGCGAAGTTAAGGTCTCACACTTCGGATTATTTGCCAAATTAAGAGCTAACAGGGGTTGTGGGGACTGCAGACGGAAAAAAAGGTCGGATTGGATGTTTCAGTTCACACTGTCCAAGGACTTTATGTGGGGTCAAAGGACAGCTGGCAGAGTGACCGAGACTTTCTATGTTGAACCTGTGTATGATCATGGGATGCATACTTGGGTAGAAATGTTTTAAATCATCCCATGCTCTACTAATTAAAGCCCATTTGTCATCGACAGGCATGTAACAAGGCATATACTTTCAACAGCCACTGCTGATGCCAACTTGCCTATCGTTTCCTAACTTCTGTCCTATGTACTGTCCGGTTGCCTTGTATACCTATGTAAAGTCAGTGTCAAAAAAAAAAAAAAAATTTAGTACATGGCTGCTTACAATATCGACGAGTGCCTTTTTGCTCTTCTCCAGAAAATGCAAATCAGACAATAATAGACCAATCCGAAAAGTAGAGTGCACCCAGGTGCGACGTGTGCAAAGAACTGTGAAATATTTTAGGGGAGCTCCTTCGTCGTTTGCTTATATGGCTGCTACTGCCTGCGAGAACTTCACTATTTAAGTTTGCATTGTGCATAAAAGAGCTCTCTTTTGTCGTCTGGATTTCTTCAATCCTTGCAACAGACTCAGAGCCGTATATTGGAAGAGTTTGGCCAATGGGTGCGGCGACGAAGGCGCTGGAGAGGAGGGGTTAACTTGCATACATCCCACAGAAGCGATTACGTGCTAAACAGTTTGGGGATGGCTACACGCTTGTTTAAAACGGTTAAGGGGTTAACTTGTATACATCCCACAGAAGCGATTACATAAACATATGCTGGTATGACACTCATCCAGATCGAAATGAGCAGGGGTGGGTATGACCCCAGGATTCCGAGGTTCTGCAGTGTATGCTTTTGCTCCATATGCTGCGGTGTGTTGCAGGGAATGGGTGTTAGCCACCCATTCCCTGCAAATGGTGTCCTTCTGTGCATCTGCTCTCCGACATAAGAATGATCTAACACTCGCAAGTGTGTTTGAAGAGACAATTTTTTATACACCGCCCAGCAGTGAACGATTAGCTACTTTGGGCCAACTGCAACCAGCGCACACACACAAAATCAAGTTGCAATATATATAAATATATATATATATATATATATTTTTTTTTTTTTGCATTTTACGAAAAAGACGTTTGCACTAACGTAACTTGATCTGCTGTCGAGGAAGCAGTGACTCCCCGTCAATAGACTCGAAGGTGGAAGCATAGCAAAGAGCGACCCAAAATGTCACACATACCATCCGTGCGTTGTACATTGGGGTAGCTCCGAGGCTACGAATCCACAAGCGAGACAAAGTCACGTACCATCCGCCCGATGCACCAAAAGGCTGTGATTGTAGCGTTGCTGCTGCTGAAGCGGGTACGGCGACCGGGAGGGCGTCTTGGGCACGTCGTTGTCAGTATCCGAAAACTCGTCGCTGTACGCGTAACCGACGCGAGTCCTCAGGTTCGGCCGATGATCCACCACCGGCGGTAGTACGACCGGCGGCGGCGGAGTCGGCGGCGGCTCAGGACGCCGCGGCCTCTCGGGTGGACTCGTCCTTCGACTTCGCGAGGACGGGATCGCCGCCGAGCGACGCCGGGTCGAGCGTTGGTTCACCGACGCCGCCTCACCGTCACTGTCGTCCGAACTCATCCGGCCCAGGCTTGCACGGTTCGGCAGACTCCGCCGAGGCGATGGAGTCTTCATGCCGTTCTGCAGAAGGCTCGTCAACCTCCGTTGCATGACCACACGCGTGGTGTCGGTGACGGGTCCCACGTCTTCGCCCAGGTCTCGGAGTTGTCGTCGCAGGTCGTCGTCTTTGAGGTCCTGCCGCGACCGACTCGCCATGTTTTCTGGAGATAGCGGCAGCGGTGTCGCGGCGGCGTTGGGGCAGAGCACGGGGGAAAAAAGTGTAGGCTGGATCGCCTCACAACGAAGCGGCCATCGAGCGTTTCCCTTTGTTGTTGTTTTTTTTCTTTCTTTCTTTGCTTTAGATTTCTAGACACGAGAACCAAGCGTCAACTTGCGCTGAGCGTCGGATCGGCCGTGGCCATGGGTGAAACGTGACTATTAATTAAGTTGAGGCGCCACGATAAACAACACACAGACACCGCAGGGCCTCCCGCGAGGCTACCCAAGTAAACAAGAAGGGAGGGGGAACCGGGGGAACAGTCAGCCGAATGCAGCTCCCGTAGATCCCGGGGTGGCCAATCCGCGGCGCCACTACGCGCGCTTCCCTCTCGTACGTCTATCCACGTAAGAGAAGTCGCGTCGCCCCTCTATCCACATAGCCCCAAACCTCTATGTGCGCATTGCCCGCTAGGCGGCTAGGCCAGCTAGGCCGGCTAGGCCCGCTAGGCTTTGGGCAGTGTTGCCAGGTCTACTGATTTATCAGTAGATCTACTGATTTCGTTCCGGGTCTACTGATTCACTGAAAAACAAGAAAATCTACTGACTTTTTTTTTAGTAAACATATTAAAAATTTATTATATGGCCCCTTCAGTTCCCAGTGCCGCCCATCAAAGGAAACTCATAATGTCCCAGAATTAAAAACGAAGCACTGGCTAGATGGCCCAGAAGCCCGTCCTATTCGAGTGACGTAGTCGTATATTCATCTATCTATTCACCCAGAGCAGGTTCGACGGTGACATCCGGGCCAGAATGGAGAGAGTTTGGCTAGTCTATGATCTCGCCGTAATGTCTCTCTCCCGAGTGAGCCAATCAGCCCGCGGCGCAGAGCGAGAGGTGTTTGCGCATGCGCAACACTCGACCCCAGGGGCAACAATCCGTTTTCGAGCCCAGTCACTGAGTTTGAGGCTAGACTCTCACCGGCGTCCCTCCTAACCCTAACCGAGTGGACTGTGATTTCAATAGGCGCAGCCTGCGTAGGCACCGTTTCAAACGCTGCTGGCGGCTAAATTATCGCCTTTTCCCGCTATATTTTGTGTTTCATGGTACATGTATTTTCCCGAGAACACTGAGAAAGCACTGTACCACAATTGAAAAAACAAAACAAGCAAAAAAAAAAAAAAAGAACTGTTAACTTTTTTTGGGGGGTATGCGTGCGACAGAACGAATGCGACTGGAATGTATAGTTCTAGTTATTTTTTTTTTCTTACGACAAGTTTTGACGGCGCAGCGGGATTCGCCGCATGTGAAACAACAAAGCGTTTTGCTGTCAAAAATAAATTGCAACAGAAGAGGGCCGAAAGGCATGCATTTTTCACACTCACAAATAACGTGTTTACCGATGGACAGGACACGGACATACAATTAAGGAAGTGTTAACATTCGAATGATATATCGTACGTACCACACGATGCAGCGTTATCCGAAAAGAATTTATTTGAGAAAGATCTCAAATAACACAGTCACAGTCGACGACAGTCACATCTTGACGATCGCACGGAATCCGAGATGACTTCGTTTTGGGGCACGTTTCGGGGAGAGCTTCCTTTTTTCACAACCGCACCAAGACAAAGAAACAAATGCGACTGACCCATTTCTCACCCCAACCCGGACAACTATTTTTGGAGATAACTGACGGTTCTACGCGGATTATCTCTGGGAGGGGGGAGAACAATGTTCGCAAAATCGCGTCGAGGGCCGTTCAACGTCCTTCACCTTTCCCGTGAATGTCGAGCAGAAAAGCTTGAATGGCAGGCACTTAGCAGCCTTATTTCTCACAATGGAAGACAACACAAAAAGGGTACTCAGCACGCATAAAAAAATAAGTGGAAACTTTCAAGAAAGGCGAGAAAACGTCGAATGCAAAACCGCAAAAACGTACGTAGAGGACCGCGCTGAGCGGGTCTTCACAGTCCCAGAGAGTGGCAGAAAATTTCTAGCTGATAGGGGGCGCGAGAGTCGCACCAGCCGCATCAGCATCAGCAACATGGCGGCGGCCTAGGAGCACGAGCGTTTCGCCGCAGTAAGGTTGCAACGCCTATTGGCTGAGAGAAAAAGCAAAAACAAGCAAAACAACACAAACAGGAAGTGACGAAAATTTTTGTTTTGTTTGTTTTTGCTTTTTCTAATTTTACTTTTTGTTTTTACTTTTCGTTTCTCCAAGTGTTTGTTGGGCGCTTTTCGGAGCGGTCGCGTTGGTTCCATATCAGCGGTTCCAGCGGTCTTTCTTGTATTATACATTGTCGTGTTATGTGCCGCGGTATTGCCGAGTGGAGTTGGTCGTGATATTCAATGCTTGGGAACGAGCGTCGGCAGTGAAGTCCACAGCGCATTCAGCGCATTCATGCAAGCCAGCAACAGGCCCCGTCTCTCCACATGGAGGCCCGTGGGACGGTTGTTCGGAAAGTAAAAGGTGAGTGGAATTTACCTACTGGTGGCGTTCGATCGTCGATTCGACACCGCTGTGGTGGAATTTGATAGCGCTTGGCTACCTCACGTAGCGTCGGGGACAAAGAAGAAGATAATAGAGATAATCAACAGGAGTGGCATGTGGCTCCCAGCCTCCCTAGTGGCTCCCAAGTGCCGCCTGCGCCGCATTTGCATGTTGGGAATGTCAGCTTTTGACGAGCTCGTGCAGTCACAAAAGCGTTCTGTCGAAAGACGCGATTTACAAACAGATCAGGCTTCGCGAATGGCCCTCACGGCGCGTTGAATTTGTGGCGGGTAAATATGTTGCTGTTCGTCCTGGTAGGCCTGCGATGGTGTTTTCTGCACAAATACTGTATTCTGCCTCGTGCTACATTCACACCTGCCGCAGAACTGCTAAGCGATTCTGCTACAGGTTAATGGCGAAGAGTTGTGCTCTTCCATAGTGTGCATGTTAAAGTGACAACAAATAAGTGCCTCTCTGTTCTACTTCTCCTTTGGTATTCAACTGGTTGTATTTTCTACTACATTTTGTTCAGAAAGCCACTGCGAGACAGGCATTATTGATGTATACTATCCAAAACAATGCTTGAGCATGAGATGAGGTAACAGAAATACTTCAATATGTGCCTGCTTTTTGTGTTTTTGCAAGACAAGGTAACAGAAATACTTCTTTATGTGCCTGCTTTTTATGTTTTTGCAATTCACCGGCTAGACCACTCTTCTCATGGTTATTGTTTTGTTGGGTGCAAAATTTTCCACCCCAGGTGTCCGATGCTTGCGGCTGATGGCTTCTACCTACGTGCATCAAACAGCGGGCCTGCACCTTCGCCGAGACAGCAGTAATACAATTCTGGGTAACTGCAGCGACTGGGTCACCGATGCCGTTCCACTTCATGCACTGCACTCCGCATGGGTCAAAGGGCCAGCGCATGCCTTTTATGCGTTGTCGCCAGCCATAGTGAGTATGGCTTGGAGTCACGTCATGCGAGTGAAATGCTTGTCACCTGAGTGACGTCAGTTGGGGTGGGGGCACCGCCGTTGGTGCGGTTATGACCGGTGGTCTGCGATCATAGATCACCAAGCACCATTGCACTGTTCCTGGATGAACTAGCCGCTCTTGAGGAAGAACAGGGTGCTTTGGGAAGAGCTACGGTGTCCGCTTTTTCACTAGCTCCAGCTGTCGCCACAGACATTTTGTCGAAAGGAGCAACATCTATGAATGAGTAGACGGCGCTGAATGGCCGCAAGGGGCCTCGCTTCTGACCGAGGGGGTCAAAATAGTCCCGTTTTAACAGAGGTACCTCTTGGGGTATTGTACAACACAGGAAATAAAGGGCCCGAAAGTTTTCTACCTCGACAAGGTGTGGGTTATGGCAGGACCAATGCGGCTTTGTTCCGTGGACACCTTCATGTGTGGTGGCACAAGGCAGTGATTGCTTAACCTTGCTTAAAGGGGTTATGACACGCCAAAAATAAAATATTACATAACTATACTGCTAGGACCCATTGTATGTTCCTATAATCCTGCTAAATGTGTTTTGAAAAAGGCGCGATCATTTCGTGGATAAATCGATTTATATGCGGGCCCCTCAGATCCGGGCGGACCTGGAGGCTGATGACGTAGCCAGCCTCCAGCATGGTGTCTACTTGCACGCACTCACAGACTTGGCTCTCTTGGCGTATCGAGCCTCAGCTTCCTCGTTTACCTTCCACGTTTCCAGCATCCGGTCTGTGACGATTACGTCTACGGCATCGATCGCCTTGTCGAAGTGTTCAACATTGATCGAAGCAGCGATGAGAGTGATTGCTATCAAGAGATGTTGGAAGCTGTTCATTTTGACTGCGACCCGCTGGCGACGAGCTCCAGCGACGACGAGTTCGCCGTGGTCACAGTCGTCCGGGAATGTCTCGCAGGCGCATGCAGGGTGGAAGGTCAACCGGCCGGGGGGCGAGAGCGAGAATAGCTTTCAGTTTACCGAGCTGTTTGAGCGTCGTACCGCGACGAGAAGAGCTTGGGCGATCATGGGGGTGCCTAGAATGAGAGAGTGTTCATGGTCAGGTGGTTTATGGACACCATGGTGTGACTAAGTTGAGCAGTGTTGCCTGGTCGCCAGATGAAAATTATAAAAATTCGTAAATTGAATATTGCAATTATCAGAGCTCTAAAAATTGCGTAACTTGGTGTATATACTAAGTAGCCTATGAGCATTCCATTTCAAGAATAGTCTATCCGTTTAATTTTCGTGTCATAGATCAACGACTGGACTGGTCATGGGTGGCGTACCTGAGAGTGGGACAGTAGACGGCTGTTATATACCAACTTTAGACTTCATTCACCCCTTAACTGACAGGGCACTGGAGGCTACATGCTCGGTGAACCAGCCGATTATCAGTCTTGCATCACTTATCATGCCCCTTTCTCATACAGATGTGCAGGTCGGACATGAGGCAATAAAAGCTTGGCCCACCAACCACATGGCTCCTACCGCCCTGTCAACGTAGAGGTGAGTTGGTGGGGTCTGCTGGGTGCTTCTGGCGTAGCAGCTTGGCAGTGGTGAGTTACTAGAGCGCAAAATGCCATACCGCACTTTACTCTGAATGCTGCGAGCCATCGGAGCCAATCCAGTGCCGAAGGTGTGTCACGTGGCCTGTCCGTTGGGCGCAACGGCACGTTGAGCACAGTGTCATCTGGCAGCGTCAAAGTGTCGCAGAGCTTTCTGGACAAGCGGCGATAATCAAGAATGAAACGTGCCCTACAGCTAGCTAGCTTCGAGAGTGTTGCACATCGCAGTGTCAAACGAAACGGCAATATCAGTCAACAAGACCGAGTACCGCTTTACGACGAGAGTGAGCCCGCCTCGCACCCATCCAAAACAGCGTGAAACTGGCAAAAAATATTCTAACCCTAAAATTAACTTGGGCTGTTCGTA